ACTGCCACCGTTGCTTCTGGTGGGAAAGACTCGGAACAAACAAACAGTTTTGGAGGATCAAAAACCTCGTCTGCTACAACATTCTGTGTGGATTCCTGCACTGCTTGGGGCAGCTGCTCTGGACTGGTTTCAGCGTTTGTTCCAGCTGGGATCTTGTTTTCAGAGTCCAACCGTTCCAAGCATTGTCTCTCGAGTGCTTTCTGCTTCTGAAGCTCCTTGCATGTTTTGCTTTCGGCATTCCACCCACTCCTCTCCCTGGGTGGGCTGAGGCTGTGCCTAACCTCTTGTAGTGGAAGCACTGGAGCACATCTTGTATCAGTGTCTGCAGTGTTTGGTGGAGAGCAGTTCACATTTGCATAGATAGACCGAGCGGTGCTGAACAGGAGCACACCCACCTCAGTTGTTGAAACTTGGCCAGGGATACACACACCATCCATTGACCCAAAACAATGTTTGCTTAGTTTTCTTGGTAGAGTACCGTCCGTGTTTTGAGGCCCGATATTGCTGAATAGTACACCGTTTCATTACAAGCTGCGGCACGCCCAAGAGGCCGTCCGTCGTTCGATGCTAGCTGTCTGACCCACCGATTCCAAAAAGCACAAACACAACGAATCCGAAGGTTCCGGCAAGCCACTGCGCGAGCTTGATTTCTAGCTCCACCCTTGGTTCGCATGGCCTTTCTCAAAGGATCTAAAGCAGAGTTGCCCACTTCTTCATCAAGCTTGTTGAGCAGCTGGTCCAACTGTTCAATTCCTGAGCCACTGAAACAGGTTCATCTGTTCAGTCTGACATCTGCCATTTCAATTGACATCTTTCTCAGGCACCCACCCAGACAATTGTGGTACGCAGCACCGGCCGAAACAACATCCTGATGGCACCAACCACCGATGGCATCCTTTGAAATCTTTCGATCAATATGTGGTTCTTTTACACACCTCACTATCGTGCCAAGACACGCCCAGAACTGCACTATCAACCTTGGGACACGATTTCTAACAAAAGCGCACTATCATTCATAGTTGTTGTTGCTGTCTGCCACAGACTAAGACATCGGCAATGTGCAGCAGGCAATGTGATGCAGCTGCTTCATTGCCTTTGCCTTCTGACCACCATTTTTGAAAACTCTGAATGTTGTCCTCCTCCTGAATGATTGATGTGGACCTCCCAAAGTCACAAGCACAATCAAAGTGTCAAACCAAAAACATGATAAATGCATTGGAGTTTGGTGATCTACCACAGGCAAGCCCAAGTTGCGGACAAATCTCCAGAGGAAACCTGGAAACACAGAGCCACATCTATAGAGAGAGAGAGGGTATATGCAAAATTAAGTTGATGAAATTGTGCGAAACGGTTGTTTTCGACGATTTCGGCCTTGCAGCTCTCTGCGTTCTGGTTAGTCACCACAGGCCTGAATTCGTACAGTACCTCTGGTTGAATTGTTAAAACGTGCTGTTCTGAGCGCTACACGGCGCGTTCTCTTTATCGTTCTGCAGCTTTGCCTGAAAAAACCCGCATCTGACACAAAAAGACCCCCGAAATCTGAGAAGTCTGCGGTGAAGGGTGCCATTGGTGCCAAATCGGTCCAAATGGCTACATGCGCGGCCTTGATGCAATGTTCGCACAATATGTCCTTCCTGGCAATTGTTGCTGCAGCGTGTTCGCTATGACAGAAGTTACATCGTCACATTCTTCTTTTGGATTGTGTAGGTGCTTGATCTAGCTGTCCGGTGCTAGCAGCATTTTAGCTAGCTGGGATGTTCAACATGTAAGGCTGCAATCTCCCCAGTGAGTGATGTTGTAGAAACATGTGGAAACAACATGGGGGCACGTGGGGATCGGTCACAATATTTGCACGATGTGTCTTTGTGTCTTTGTGGGGTTGCCATGTGCACTTGCTGGCGGTTTCTTGTGCATCGAGCCAAGCAATGGATGCTAGCCACCTCAGTCCACTTGCCTGACGTGCCCTCTGGTGCACATGGAAAAATTCATCGCTCCCTCCAATGGCAAGACACAGCCCGTGGCTTCACAGCTGGCAACATCAACACTAGCATGAGACATTTGAGGAGCTGGCGTGAGAAGCGGGAGAAAAAAAACAAGCATTGGCCACCTAAGATGAATACATGGTAACTTGCACCGCACCGAAAAGCATGGCCCAAATGGTTTCGGGACAGTTTCTCAGCCATCGTTAGCTGCAAAAGAGTGCAGGCTGCGCGTGTTTTCTACTGTTGATATGGGGCGTTTGTTTGCTCCACCATCCGTCATTGCGCACCCCTTCCTCTGCCCAAAACGGCAGCAGCCCCGGAACGAGATCCCACTCTTCCACCAATGGGTCAGATGGCCGCCGTTTTCCGCAGCAATGCCCTTTTTTGTCTAACATCATGCGAAAATCGCTGCAACCCTCGCGGGTTCCGTGTTTGGTTGCCTTGTTTGCTCTTTCTCTGAAGGGTGAAAGTGTAGGGTGCATGTCTCTGCTTGGCCAAGAGCCACAATGATTGATATGAATCTGCAGTGGGGCTGTAACAAAAGTATTGAAAAACAAGAACCTGCGTCCTTCTGCAACCTCCTCCCTTCCCACG